GTGCGCTCCATATTACTATATGGATCAGAAACCTGGCCGCTGCGCGCCGAGGACGTCAAAAGACTTTCTGTGTTTGACCATCGATGTCTTCGGAGCATTGACCTAATCTGGATCAGCAATGCTGAAGTACGTCGAATGGTATTCGGGAGAAATAACTCACCTTCGATAGATGAACTGATCACACTGCATAAGTTGCGCTGGCTTGGCCATGTGCTGCGTATGCCAGTCGACAGACTTCCTCGAAGGGTTCCTTTCGCACAACCACGTGAAGGTTGGAAGAGAGCCAGAGGCGGTCAAACGGTAACTTGGCAGCGAAGTGTGAAAGCCATTACCAGCAAACTCAGCTGCACTTTTCACTGCCGTCTTCCTGGATGGGGACCCCGAGACGGCCACATCAATGGTTAGAGACATTGTCAGATATGGCCCAGTCGCGCCGTCAATGGCGCTCGTGCATCCAAGCTGTTGCCTTCAATGCATAGCTCCTTTTCCAACCTGTCTCCCCACTTGACAGCCAACTGACAGTGCTGGATTTATGCACCAATTTATCATCTCTCGCCTGCAATGCGCAGCTACCTACCCCTCCCCCCTCCCAAGTCATCGGTGAACGAAACTGCGGCAGCTACATCACTGTACAAGTACGCGGTTATTACAGCTGACAATGATGAAGTCAAACAAGATATTCCTAAGCATTCATCTGCACCATGAGAGGTGTTCTTACAACCTGACAATAAAGCGGTAACAGTTTACAAAGAGTCCTGAGGGGAAAAGGACTGGGAGCATTAAACCCAGAGTGGGAAGAATACAGGCACTACGTGACATAAAAAGCAGCCTGGATATGGATGAACCCACTAAGGTTACTTGATAGGGTCACACTCAGCGATTCCACAGTACAGCTTTTGGAGAGCTGGACAATGGAAATGGCTGATATCTGAGGAGTAGCATGTTGCAATAATGTTGAACAGAGACGCAGAAAGAGATAGGGTCTTGGCAGTTCAGGACATTGAAGGTGACAGAGTGCTTATTTGTTTGGCCACCCATCAACTTCATTCAATAGTCTGTAGACCTGCGTGGTTTCAATGAATGAGCTGGTAAGATTTCAGCGGTCGAAGGGTGAGACTGTTGTACGGATGGTGCAAGTGTTCAAACTCTGCCCAAGCCTGAGCAGCCCAGCAACACTTCAGTCCTCCTTTAGGTTGTACGGTAGCCATAGCTGAACCACTATCATTATGACGTTTATTGATAGATAGTGAAATCAGGGATGGTAGTGTTTCTCACGTACGAGGGAGAGAGGGAAAATAGGGAAAAGCCACAGACATCGCTGGTTACGTCTGCCGGTGGGTACGCCCAACATGTGGCTCTCGGTATCCCGAATCCCAGCGCCCATGGAACAGCTGTTGCATAATCAGTGCTGAATACTAACCAGTATAGTCATTAGTCCCGCATTTAGCACGCCTGTTCGAGATCATAGCCTTCCGCCCAAAATACGTGACAGAACACTAAAAGAAGACGTGAGAGTTGCTCGGTGCGACAGACTACACAACAGTGCCGTTCGTAATTTCTGAGCGTTGGTCACTTCGCCCATTTCGAATCGACGGTTTATGTCGGCACAGTGTGTTTCCTCCCACCCCCCCAGCTCCCGTGCAAACGGGGCGAGATGGTTCAAGTGGTTAGAGTGCGAATTTACTGACCGGAAGGTCCGTGTTTCGAACCCGACCTTTGCCTCTCGACTTCGCCCTTCTAGGCTTCGTGAACCAGGTAGTATCTCAGCCCTCGTGGTTTCTTCCATTGACATGGCATTTAGGCGCCGAAAGGGTGTTACGGCTGAACGATTATCTTATCAGATTCCTACAAGTTGATTCGATGAGATGATCCACTCGCCGTTGGTCTCCAGTGGAATTATTGTAGTTGTTGTTGAACACACAGAAGTGTGCTGTAAATTAATCGGTGGCGCCGGAAACCCAATCATCATCAAACGGTTTCAGATGATGGGGGAGCATGTTAGTCTGAGTTGTGTGCTGTTACTTTCTACTGGATGAGCGGGGAAGTTCGAATTTCGCAGCAGATGAACTCACCAACTGACTCAAAACGAAATATGGCTCTGATTAGAGTAGCAAGTAAATGGAGACTGCTCAGCTAGATCTGCTTCAAACACCCTAAAAACAGAGCAGTCGTGAGGGCTTACCTCGAGTGATGAGTGCTTCAAGATCGGACACGGCCGGCGTCCCGCAACCCGGCTGAAGTTCAGAACTAGATCCAAACGCAAAGCAGCCACCAACCGTCCAGGCTAAGAACAAGTCAAAATAAACATATGTCAATAGCAGAGCCGAAGGATCGGATGGCTCATGCGAAGAATGGTCTAGATTTGTGATCAAACGATCCAACGCCTCCAGGCGAGAATCTACGTCCGGTGCGAACATACAGCCAACCAGTTGGGAGTTGGCGTTCGCAGCCACAAACAAAGCGTGCAAGTTGCCGAGGTCAATGCAAGTCATCTGTAAATGGAAGCAAAGACATATAAAGAGTAAAGTTATCGCCCTGACTTTGGTCATTAAATGAGCATGAGACTACAGGTTGCAGTGAGGGTGTCTGGTTCTTCAATGGTTGTCTACAAACGGCAAAATGAGGGTTGCTGGGTAGGAACTCCTCAAAAACGGAGAGGATTCAACGGGAAAACACGGTAATGAGCACTGCTCCAGCGAGAAATGACATGCACGTTATTCCACAACGGTTCAATGGTTCTGTCGCTTCCGCCGTCACACATTTTCGACTGGCGATAGGGCTCGGATCCTCGCGAACCAATACGCGGATGAGTTGGCGTTCACCATTCGGAGCTAAGTGAACACCTAGACGGAACTCAGTAGTAAAAACGCGGTACGTTGGAGAGAATAGGTCAAATGGAACGAAACAGTGTGGTTGATCACCTGTTGATAGGACGTTGTTTAGGCGAGATTAAAATAATACACACCCCAAAGGGGTCAAGGTAGAGTTTGGGTGAATATTTCTCGGGCGAACATCATCATCATCATCATCAAAGACAGCAACATCAGTGTTGACACTCGGACGAACACCTGACAGAGACCTGGTATGATGAATGGGCCTCAAGCAATAAGCTGCTTTGAGTTGATCATGGTTGACTAACGAAAACAGGTTGTGAAAAAGTACTAGGCAAGATGCTTTAACAAAAATATTTAAAAAAAAACAAAGTCGAAAGAGTGCACAAATCGACTAGAAAGTGATTTTTTCCTCAGTATCAACAGTTTATAATCGATGGAGTTCTAATAAGCTGGTGGCAGTTCTAAGTAACAAGAGTACTGGGTCAAGTCAGCTAGACTTGAAAGGACACTGCATCGCAATGCACGAATGAAGAGCGTGAAATTCACTTGCCTATAAATACCGTACTCATCTGAAAGTCTTCCGCAAACCAGTGTGGTTTCTGGCCCACCCAGCTCCACAATAGGATCGTAGGTGGAACATAGTTGACCACGGGGGGCGACATCAGCAATGCATCGACACTCCTCTTCTTTGGGTTCACTCATTGAACAAAAATTCATTCTCACAACAACAGTCACACTACCTATAAACCATAGTTAGTAGTCTACTTAACCCGAAAATGCACTAGACACATCATTCAGCAGCAACACCCTTTCATGTCACCCTAAGGAATCACGAGGACTAAGATACTGCTAGGTTGCCCAAGGCTGGACAGGAGCAGAGATGGCGTTTGAACCACGGACCTGGTACGCTAACCATTGTGTATGAATGAGTTCTGCAGCGGTTTTCAAGTCAGTTCAGATGTACACTGTCATGCAGAAATGAAAACAAGAAGAATCGAGTTTATCCCTACCTCTGAATTACATATGATGCCGTCGATGAAAAGAGATAGAATGAAAAACAATGATAGTTCAGATGTAACACGCTTTCGGTACCTAATTGCCATGCCACCCGGAGGAAGCACGAGGGCTGGGATACTGTCAGGTTGTCCGAGCCTAGGCAGGGGAAGTCGAGTGGTAGATGTCGGGTTCGAACCACGGACCTTCCGGTCGGTAAATTCGCGTTCTAACCACTTGGGCCATCTCGCCCCGGTGTGGATTCGATGATTGAAGGATGAGTGGCGCTCTATTCTGTCCAAGTTCGAAGTGATCACACTGCTGGTCACCCGCTTTTGGCCGAAGGGTTGTGTTCAAACTACTAGCCCAGAGGTCCCGGGTTTGAAACTGCCTCCCGGGGTTTCCTGAGATGCGCACTGCTGAGGATTCTCAAGAAGGATGAAACAGCTACACAGTGCACATCGGCTTCTCAGCGTAGACTGGCTTCAAAGGACAGAATCTCAAATGAGACAAGTTATCTAGCCTATAGCCTCTATCGAACTCAAATGAACAACGAATATGGCCGCCGTAGGGAGGGTTTTCTCTGTGAAAGTGAGCATAGACGATAGTACAAATACTTCAGTCCAGTATTTCGCCCAAAAGTACATCGAAGTCCCATTAGAGCAGTCATCAAATCGGTTTAGAGAGAAGAACTACCTTTGTTAAGTTGGTCAGTCGAGTTTGTTTCATTTCCAACAACGTGTCCATTTGGCCAGGTCGCACAAGAAACAAAGTTTGCGTGTTGACTGGTTGTTCTTGTCGAGCAACAGGATTGATAACGCCACGTCTGTAGGGAGGTGCAGATAGACACAGACGAATAAAAAATGCGTTCTATTCCACAAAACAAATTTAAACGCAGTTGATAAACTGTTTGAAAAATGTGTCCTGACACAAACCAATCAGATCAGGGCTTAGAAAAATATAATATAATACATATGTTTTTCAGCTATAACCTAGCCAGCATGCCACTCGAAGCAGACACGAGGACAAAGATACTGTCAGGTGTTCCATGGGAGTAGTCGAAATGCCGAGAGGGGTTCGAACTACGGAACCTCCAGTTAGTAAGGTCGCGCCTTGAACACTGAGCGCTCTCGAGCCCAATAAGCATTCAGCTGCAAGACACTTTCGGTACCTAACTGCCATGCTACCCGATTAAAGCACAAGGACTTACACTGTCAGGAGCAGTCGATAGGCCGGGGTGGGGTTCGATCCACGAACCTTTTGGTTACCAAATTCTCACCTTAACCACTGAGCTATCTCGAACTCGGGTGGGATAATGTTGAGTAACCTAATCTGAATGCGACGTAATCAATCAGACTCAGTGACCATTGGCCTGCGCACACGTTCGTTACTAGCCCAGAGGTCCCGGGTTTGAAACTGCCTCCCGGGGTTTCCTGAGATGCGCACTGCTGAGGATTCTCAAGAAGGATGAAACAGCTACACAGTGCACATTGGCTTCTCAGCGTAGACTGGCTTCAAAGGACAGAATCTCAAATGAGACAAGTTATCTAGCCTATAGCCTCTATCGAACTCAAATGAACAACGAATATGGCCGCCGTAGGGAGGGTTTTCTCTGTGAAAGTGAGCATAGACGATAGTACAAATACTTCAGTCCAGTATTTCGCCCAAAAGTACATCGAAGTCCCATTAGAGCAGTCATCAAATCGGTTTAGAGAGAAGAACTACCTTTGTTAAGTTGGTCAGTCGAGTTTGTTTCATTTCCAACAACGTGTCCATTTGGCCAGGTCGCACAAGAAACAAAGTTTGCGTGTTGACTGGTTGTTCTTGTCGAGCAACAGGATTGATAACGCCACGTCTGTAGGGAGGTGCAGATAGACACAGACGAATAAAAAATGCGTTCTATTCCACAAAACAAATTTAAACGCAGTTGATAAACTGTTTGAAAAATGTGTCCTGACACAAACCAATCAGATCAGGGCTTAGAAAAATATAATATAATACATATGTTTTTCAGCTATAACCTAGCCAGCATGCCACTCGAAGCAGACACGAGGACAAAGATACTGTCAGGTGTTCCATGGGAGTAGTCGAAATGCCGAGAGGGGTTCGAACTACGGAACCTCCAGTTAGTAAGGTCGCGCCTTGAACACTGAGCGCTCTCGAGCCCAATAAGCATTCAGCTGCAAGACACTTTCGGTACCTAACTGCCATGCTACCCGATTAAAGCACAAGGACTTACACTGTCAGGAGCAGTCGATAGGCCGGGGTGGGGTTCGATCCACGAACCTTTTGGTTACCAAATTCTCACCTTAACCACTGAGCTATCTCGAACTCGGGTGGGATAATGTTGAGTAACCTAATCTGAATGCGACGTAATCAATCAGACTCAGTGACCATTGGTCGGTACCTACTGCCATGCTACCCGATTAAAGCACAAGGACTTACACTGTCAGGAGCAGTCGATAGGCCGGGGTGGGGTTCGATCCACGAACCTTTTGGTTACCAAATTCTCACCTTAACCACTGAGCTATCTCGAACTCGGGTGGGATAATGTTGAGTAACCTAATCTGAATGCGACGTAATCAATCAGACTCAGTGACCATTGGCCTGCGCACACGTTCGTCTCTCTTGCACACACTCAAGAGCCAACACAGCCAAAAGGGATAATACGAGATTTTTGAAGAACTACATTAAGGTAATGGCAACGGAGTTCTTCTGTCAAGCATAAATCAGAGTCCTGTTTCGTTGGCTTCGATCAAACTTTGAAGAATAGTGATGTGATCCGGCAACTCTTCTGTGCGGCTCTCATCACCATCAAAGAGGGCGAGACGGACCAAGTGGTTGGCGCGCGAATTTACTGACCGGAAGGTCCGTGGTCCGAACCCGACCTCTGCCACTTGACTTCCCCTGTCTAGGCTTGGGCAAACTGGCAGAATCCCAGCCCTCCTGCTTCCTTCGTGTGGCATGGCAGCTAGACACCGAAAGGGCGCTACAACTGGACGATGATGATGCATCACCATGCATATGGCGCGGCAACTCAAGACAGCCTGTAATGTACCCGCATTGCGTTTATAGAACAATTGCAGCAGAGATTTCGTCTTGACAGTGAAATCAATCTCCTACGCTGAACAGTTACCTCACCCTAACGAAACTCTGGGAGTTTAGAACCAGAGACCTTCCGGCCACTCATTCTCTGCCTTTCCAGTGACTGCCTTCCGGATGGAAAGCCCACATAAATAGTGAGTTATTTCGCACGGCTCGTCGGGTGGCGGATTATTATTAGTAGTAGTAGTATTGATTGTCTATTCAAAACAAGACCAATAAATCGACTTTCAGTTTAGCCGCAGAAGTCCTCAGTCTTCTCATGTTTGTGGTTGGTCAAAACGGTTACGAGTTCAACCACTGGCAGGAAGGTTCCGAGTTCGAAACCCTGAATTTGGTGAGATGCGCACTGCTGATGATTCGAACAGTGCTTCTCGGCTTTCCACCACAAATCAGCTTTACTGACGAAATCTCTGTTGAAAGTTATTAAAATCTCCTCACATTACCATCCATTATGATAAAATCTCTGCAGGGTCATGGAAGACGGCTCGTGACGTGGCGAGAGACGCCGGACTAGTGACGTGATTTCGCTTAAGATCCCTAGTCCGTTCGTCACTCATTTGTCCAATCGACGTGATTTCCGTGGAGTCGGAGAGACCCACCGATCCCCGGAAGGTTCCGAGAAACCCTGAATTTGGTGAGATGCGCACTGCTGATGATTCGAACAGTGCTTCTCGGCTTTCCACCACAAATCAGCTTTACTGACGAAATCTCTGTTGAAAGTTATTAAAATCTCCTCACATTACCATCCATTATGATAAAATCTCTGCAGGGTCATGGAAGACGGCTCGTGACGTGGCGAGAGACGCCGGACTAGTGACGTGATTTCGCTTAAGATCCCTAGTCCGTTCGTCACTCATTTGTCCAATCGACGTGATTTCCGTGGAGTCGGAGAGACCCACCGATCCCCGGGCTTCTTGTGTGATTAGTTCATCGCACGACAAATCCGAGAGTTAGACAGATGATTCATGCTAGGAATACATTTAACGCAGTAATTTCGTTGTTGAGTGGCGTTCATGACCTTGTGAAGAACATTTCGCGAGTCGTAAATAGGACGGACATGAGTAGACAAAGCACACAGATAAGGAATATAACCTTTCAATATATCCAGACACCAAAGACTTCTACAAGGGCAAACAAGTAGTCTTACTGGTTACGGGAGGAATCACATTTTAGAAAAAAAAACAGAGTAAAACTCAAAACCTGGGTGAAAAACTAACATGGGTGTTCCGCCTATGGAATCGTCCTCATTGGTGGGAGATGATGATACGGACTCTCGAACATTGGTCTGTGGACCAGGTCCTGCCACGGCTGCAAACGTTGTATTGATCGACAACTTTTTTGGCTCTGACTGTGAACATCGGTTTCGTTCCGAGGTATCGGAACTGGTGGTATCGTTATCAGCCTCGGCTTCACAGCGTGTGAACTCGGTTTGCAGTCGGGCTAACATAACAGGCTTCTCATCGGAGAACAACGTGCGGAGTCGGCCACCATCGGGACCCAAAGACACGTAGAATTTACCAGCCAGATGAACAGCCGCGTTGCGAACGCCAGGGTTAGCTGAGGCCAGTCCATGCTTGATCAAAGGTAGGATATCGTCTATTCTGAACCTGGAATAAGCAGAGGGATGGATGGAGAGTTATGCCAGGTGGACAGCAAGTCTCTTTCGGACATGCGTGGAAAAAAAAACACAGAACAGGCACAACAGGCTAATGAGGCCGCCAACCAGATCGGTCGAAAAAAGGCTGCCCCGGAGAGGTGGATATCGAAGACTCCATGCCAAAATGAAAATTCGAGAGGGTGTAAGATTCAGAGAAGTGAATTGAAGACCGAATTGTTCAGAATAATTCTCCAAGGTGTGACTCCGTTCGACAAATTCACTCACATGCGTGCGTATTTGTTAATTATGGGACACGAATCCCGGCTGAAACTCTCGTCTCGGAAGTTCTCCTTCAGCAACCTTATGAGCAGTTCATTAGACCTATACAGTTTAACTTCATTCTTCAAACATAACAGTAAGAGCATCCTAAGATACTTCACCCAATAGTAATAATGTCCAGAGTGAGTCTGCTCCAATATCCTGGGTCACTCCTACCCACAATGGACGATCCGCACAAGAGCGCCGAACAAATTTGTTTTCAGCGGCAAAGCCCCGGAAGGTATACAATCCCAAACAGCCGATAACGATTTACAAGGATATACCTATTAGAAAAACTGACCATCGTCATCCAGTCCTTCAAAAGTTGCATTGACTCTGATAGACGAAGTCAACTCACGAACTCAAATGGCCAGAATCGCGTTTGCCGATTCGCGACACCAGTGGTATCAAAAAGCTACATCACTGGGACTGAAAAGAGCGTGTGCCAGACTGAAATGCAGGTGACGTTGTTGTACGGCCGCTAGATTTGGCCATTTCAGGGAGAAGATATGAGGGATCTTCAGCTATTGACCACCGATGTCAAAGAACCATAGTTAGAATCGGCTGGACAATGGTGTGATCAAGAAACGGGTCTTCACTGAAGCAGAAGGAGCTTCACTAAGGAATACATCAGTCGCTGCATCATCATCTTCACAGACAGTAACATCAATTGTGACACCGATGCTTCGCTGCCGCACAATTACAGCGTTCACCTAATTATATTTCAAGCCTTAGGGTAGAGAGAAAAGGATGGGTGACCAGGTGATGGCCTATATCAAGCGTTTTGAGGTGCCTGCACTCCCAACCGCTCAATCAAACAATCAGGAAAGAAGCTGGCAGCACGAACGCCACTGACATAAAACCAATATCCGAAGCCAACTCCATATCCAAAGCCAGTTACAACGACCTCTGTGCATGCGGCGAGTATCCTGGTGCCATACCGGACCCGGAGCGACCATATCTGTGAAGCTAAACGTCATTTAATGAGGGCCTGAATTATCGTTCGAGTCATTGTGGTGGGGCGAACAAAAAGTTCCAACAACTCGAACTTTAATTCACCGTCTATCGAAGCCCGGATAGGCAGGTGATAATCATGAAGATCTTGAGACACCGCACCGATTGAGGCGCGAAGCAACTGATAAGAAAACTTGAGGTTCGAAACCAACCTTGGCTTCTCGACAGTTCCTGTCCAAGTTTTGGCTACTTGGCTGTATCTCCGTCCTCATGTATCCTTCGTGTTGCTGGGCAGCTACGCACCGATAGAATATCACGGTTGAACGGTTAGAGTGCTGTCCTGGCTCCCGACATCCAAGGTGTAAATACTCCCCACATTCAGTGTGTAGTTCACCTCTAGGGTGAGCAGTTTGATTACTCGTCCTCCGTTGTCTTGCTGAAAGGCAGTGCAACTCTAATTCGGTCCCTTGGATTCCTGCTCCGCCCACTATGGAATATCAAAAGGCACGGTAGCTCTACACAGCCCTTTATGGAGACAGGAAAATTATTACAACCGTATTTATAGGGTAGTCAGAGTGTTCCACAAGGTCGTGCCAGAACCTCCGTGAGAGGGCGAGAAGCTTCAAGTCAGAGGTGCTTGACTCGGATTGGCTGGCATTCTGACCAATCAGGGCATGCCTTCGTTTGGCCTGTGTCCTGCACGTGACATCCGTCCAAATGATGTGATGTTCGGTTATTAGGGACGGCTGGCGTCCGAACATCGTCCATGTTTCTGGGCTAACTCGGAAAGCCACGAATTTCGTACTAAGAATGGAAAAGCGTTAGAATGCGATATACACACTGACGCTGGAGGAAAAGCTTTGGACCAGCGTCCCTCTTGGTTCACAACTTTTGTTCGTTACCCAATTCGGTGCTATAAACGTCTCCACATTAGTATAACAGCCGCAAAGCATGCGTAGGATCGGTGAGCTGAGAGATGCTCTAAAACCAAGACGCTCCGACCGACTCACCCAGTACCGATCGAAGCGACAAAAGACAGTCGCGTTCTAGCAACTTTGCTACACAGCACCAGCTCACGTGTATCCGAAGAGGTGCAGAATTTCGAGATGTTATCCTGATATAAATGTCTGAACAGAGCCATTTTTAAAAAAAATCATTCGGCTGTAGCACCCTTTCGGTGCCTAACTGCTACGCCACCCGAGGGCTAGGATACTGAAAGGTTGCCCAAGCCTAGACAGGGGAAGTCCAGAGGCAGAAGTCGGGTTCGAAACACGGACCTTCCGATCAGTAAATTCGCACTCTAACCACTTGGTTCACCTCGCCTCCAATCATTTTTTACTAACCGGTTTTTTGCCGCAAAATTTTGCCACCAGTATTATTGCACATCCGTGATTTTAGATGATAGTTTACACAGGCTATTTCCACCAACGAACTGGAAGAGTGCAGATATTTCAAATTCCAAAGTTGGAAAACAGGCCTTACTTTAGCATTCTAGTGTCAAACAAAAAAACAAACTCACCGTGCTCTAGTGACAACGGAAGCCATCCATTCAAGAGACGTTGCAAGCACAGTCGGTACGGTTATTCCAAATAGAATCGGTAGCATTTGAGCCAATACGACATCTGTAGAAGTCATTCTGAACAGGAGATCGAGTATTTCTTGGGCCAGTTTACGGCTTTTGTTCAAATTGGGAATCGTAGCGTCACAAATCAGGTGAAACAAACGGTCGGACAGGACTTGGCCTAGCATCTGTAGACGTTTCAGCACATGGGAAACTATTTCCAAGGATACGTTACGTACCTATTGATGAAAAATGGGTGGGGTGAGTGCAATCAGCAAAAGGAAGAGGTTTGCGACTGTCATCATCATCATCATCACCAAACGGTCGGACTTGGCCTAGCATCTGTAGACGTTTCAGCACATGGGAAACTATTTCCAAGGATACGTTACGTACCTATTGATGAAAAAAAAAATGGGTGAGTGCAATCAGCAAAAGGAAGAGGTTTGCGACTGTCATCATCATCATCATCAGCATCATCATCGACAACATGACATCAGTGTTCAACACCAATGCTTCACTGCCGTACAACCATGACTTATTTGAAAGCCTTATTGTAAAGAAAAGAGTAAAGGTGGATGGGGGAGGGACTTAGTGCTAGCTTAACACAATCATTCCGAGGTGCCTACACCTCCAGACATTCACTCAGGCA